TCAGACAGCACCTTCCAAACCTACAATCACTTCCGCCTAGAAGGACAAGGGCAGCAGACATATGGGAACACCAACACCTTCAAGTTCCCCTCCAAGCCACTCACCATCCTGACTTGGAAATATATTGCTGTTCCTTCACTGTTGCTGGGTCAAAATCCTTGAATTCCCTCCCTAATGGCATTGTGGGTCAACCCACAGCAGGTGGACTGCAGTGGTTCAAGACGGCAGCTCACCACCACCTTCTCAAGGGCAACTAAGGATAGGCAAGAAATGCTGGCCCAACCAGCAATGCCCACATCCCAGAAATGAATAGAAAATAAAATCTGACAATAAAATGGAACATATTAATGACTAATTTATTAGGGAAAGCCAGAATTATATATTACTTCTCCATAGAAGATTGGCTATTGTGTCCATAAAGCTTTAATTCATTGAGTCTATATTTGGAATCATCTACACATTTATTTCTATAACATTCTCAGTTTCTGTATTTTCAAGCTGAATTTTTGCCTTTTCCATGGATTTTCCTACATAAAGCTTGTTGCCTTGTGATCTCTGCCCAGAAATGGCACTAAGGAAGCTCGTTTTGTCGAAGATATACTTGATTCAACCCATGGATAATGCACTTAGAATGAATACAAAATAAACGTGACTAGCCAGTGCCACCTCCTGGTTATATTATAAAGCAGCTCAGGTGTCATTTAATGAAACAATGTCATAGAAATAATTGAATAACATAAAGATTTATCCAGATTACTCTGATAACAGTATTTTTTCCTGTTTGGCCTTCTCTATGCTCTAGCACTGAGCTACCCATCACACTCCACTTGCGAAACTCACCTCCAATTAAAAAAAAGAAAGCATTCATTTCCTCACAAGGACCTTGCACACACTCTGCTCTATCTTATTTCAACTGTTTGAGAATAGAGGGACTAAAATAGAGGTCATGTCACAGTCATGTTTTCGAAGCTGAATTCACAATTACCATCACCTAATACAACACAAACTCTTTCAAATTCCAACTCAATTCTTGTCTTAATTTTAAGCTCTGAAATTGTGCATTTTAAATGAACGCACAAGCCTCTGGTGACAAAATGTCATGCAATTGAAACATGAGGTCCAGCTAGCACCCACATCCTATGGGCATTTTTCAACATGGATGCCGAATGGCCTGCAGAGATTTCCGCATCTTCTGTTTCTATTTCAGATTTCCAGCATCTTCACTATTTTGCTTGCGTGTAGGTCCTTTTATGTTCCAAGGGCACTGTACAACTTATCTCAAAGCCAGTTCCACGGTAGTCTTATTCAAAGGGTAAAATCTGATAGTCCAACTAGGCAATAATTAGAGATCATAAATTCTTTATCAGATACCTTACATCTCTGCCCGGTGCTTACATATTTTTAAAAGATGTTCATGGGATGTGGGTGCCAGCTGGCTGGGCCAACATTTATTGCCCATTGCTAATTATTCTGGAGAAGGTGATGCAGAGCTGCATTCATGAAGCACTTCAGTCCTTGATTCTTCTGCCATTAGAAACAGTTTATCCTCTATTTTTGTTTAATTCTCTTGTGGGACTTGGGCACTGGTGGCTGGCAGCATTTATTGCCCGTCCCTAGCCCTTGAGAAGGTGGTGGTGAGCTGCCTTCTTGACCTGCTGTGCTCCACGTGCTGTAGGTAGACCGACAATGTCCTTGGGGAGGCAATTCCACTCATAATATTGACTACCTCTGTCAAATCTCCTCTTTGCCCTTTTTGCTCTAAACACCAGCTTCTCCAGTCTATCTACATAAACTGGCTGTTAAAACAGGGAGTTTCCCAAGTTTATGATGTTTTCAGACTTTATTTTTAAATGTAGGGTGCACAGAGGAAATCATGTGATCTGTGTTGGAGTCAGCCTGACAGTACGGCTGGGGTTTGTTCAGTTGTTAGAGATCAAAGGACGGAGATTGTTTTATCGAGAGGGAATTGCATGAAATTTATGCTTGGAGACAAATCACAGCAATTCTTAAGTCTACAATGAGTAGACCCTGAATATTCCAAGCTCCCAGAAACATGTTATAGATATCAAGTTGTAAACTGTTGTGCTGAAAACTGTCCCTTTACTTCCAAGAGGAAAACTGCAATAAAAAATAACTGATTAGCATTTCTACTTAGAGACAAAGCTAACATGGTTCCTGTTGCCATGGAGGAGAAGGCAGAAAAAGCCATTCTGAGATCAGATTACAATCTTCTCGATAAACCCAAGTCTGAAAAACAATAATTAATTTTGTATTTGCATTTTCTGTTCCTTCGACAATTTTGTTTCCATGCTGCTGATGACCCTTTAACCCTTAAAGCTTCAAAATTCCTAACAGGTCTATTGTGGCACAACATCGAATAGCTTTTAGATATTCATAAAACACATTAACCCAAATGAGTATCAGCAATCCTCTCTGTTATTTATTTAAATAAATCAATCAAGTTAATCAAAAATAATTTAGCTTCACAACCCATGTTGCGTTTTGTTATGGCTTCATACTTTAACAATTATCACTTAATTTTGTTCCTAATTACTGTATTTAAAGTCAACTCACTGCCGATATTCTATTGACGGGCTTGCAGTTGGGTTTAGCCCCTTCCCTATCACCAATGCAATTCTACGGACAACTTTCCACATATTACAACAGTGACTGCAGTTCAAAAGTATTTCATTGACCTTAAAACACTTTTGGGATGTCCTGAAGTCATGAAACACATTAAAGGGATATAAATCTCCTGTCTTTAGCTTTGGCATCTCTCCTCCACAAAGCCATTTTTCCTTTGAAGATGCTTCCAAGATATGAAACAAAAGATTTCATGTTTATGAGGAAAGGCTCATATAATGGAACTTGTTTTTATTGGAGATAATCCTGAGGGTATGGGTCTGAAGGGTCAGATTAAACTTTCAATGAAAATAGTATCACGTTAAGCAGGACAAATGATAATCATATGTACCAGCAGTAACAAACTGCCTATTTAGAATCTACGGGCTCAAAACAATAGTAAAAATGAAAGGGTGATATTAAAAAGGAAATTAGGAAATAAAAGAGAACTTGAAAAATATTGGCAAGTAAAATCAAGGAAAACACAAATAAAATTTATAAAATGTAAAAAGTTGACTGAGGAAACAGCACGATCAATTACTTACTGGGATGGTGCTAGAAGACTGGAAAATTGCAAATGTTACAAGGATTCTCCTGCCACTGCATTGACTGGAGATGTCAGCACCACTAACATCATTAATGTGCACCTAAAACTGGAAGCAAATACCAATTCCACCCATATGCACACATGTAGTGTTACTGATACCCAAGGATGTCTTGCAATCCTCACTCCACTTGATATCCCTTGCTCTTATTCCTTGACGTAGTCATGTCAATGCTGCATCACTGGAAGTGACACTACAGGCACTGTGTCTGGTGGTGGGTGCACAATATGCAGTTATGGTGGCAATATACACAGCCAATGGATAAACCTTACAAATAGAGACCAATTAGTTTAACTTTGGTTGTGGGAAGGCTTTTAGAACCAATAATCCAAGACACAGTTAGCTATCATTTGGACAACTGCAGAGGCCCAAATGGAGTTTCCTAGAGGTCAGTACTAGAATCCCTGCTTTTCCCAATGAATATTAATGACCTAGTCTTGTGTGCATAAGGCAAGGTTTCAAACTTTCCTGGTTACGCAAAACTTGTAAGTACGGTCAACTGTAAGGAGGACTGTGATAGGCTTCAAGAGAACACGGACAGGCTGATGAAGCAAACACATATGGCTGAGAAAATTTACTGCACAGAAATGCAAAGTGATTTACTTATGCTGAATGAATGAGGAAACACAATATCAAATAATTCTAAATGGTGATGGAGCAGAGTTTTGTGGGAATTTGTGTGCAAAAATTGTTAATGGTGGCAGGAGACGTTGAGAAAGTCTTTAAAAAGACATCCTGGGCTTTACAAACAGCACCACACAGTACAACAGCAAGGAAGTTGTTATAGCTTTATAAAATATAGGTTCGACATCAACTGAAGTACTGTATTCAATTCTGGGCAGCATATTTTAAATAGAATGTGAAGGCTTCAAAGACAGCACATGGAAGATTGATGAGAATCCAGGAATAAGATGCTTCAGATCTGTGGAAAGACTCTAAAAGTTGGAGTTGATCTCCTCTGACAAGAGAAGGTTGAAGCATTGGATGAAGGTGTTCAAACTAATGAGGGGTTGAGACAGTAGACAGAGAGATTATTGCCATTGGGTTTGCTTTCTTTGAATCAGAGAAAACCAAGTGGAGATATATTTGAGATGCATAAAATTATGAGGGCCAGGGTTACATTGTATAGAAAAGACCCATTTCCCTATACGGAGAGATAAATAACCTTAGGAATGGTACCATAGATTCATACATTTGAAGTAATTGGTGGAATAATTTGAATAAGGTTGAGGATCAATTTTGTCTATCAAAGAGTGGTGAATCTGCAACCAACTAATGAAAAGGGAAGGAGAAATAAAAACCTTAATTGCACTTAAAAACAAACTTGAATGCACACAAGCAGTGCTTTAACCTTTATAGTGCTATGTCTGAAGAAGGGATTTGATGAGGATTTGGCTGCTTTGACCACCACAGATACAATAAGGTGAATGGCCTCTTTTTGTGCTGAAATCTGTCGCTGTTTCCGTGATTCACCCAAAACCCATTCACCCTCTTTCTTGTGAAAGATCTTTGTGAACTCGTGGTTTGGGAATCAAGGTGTAAACAAAGTTCAAATGTTATCCATTCTCAGCCATTTCATTTATTAGATTTTCTCTTATATTTATTAATTTCTAAAAATTGAGTATTATCTATTTATAATCACGCAGGTATTTATTAGCCAAACACAAAACTACTTTGGTAGATGTGCTACGGCAAAGCAGTTCTAATACTTAACTATCATGCAATCTTACATCTCTGACATGCCAGTCTTTCATTACCAAGCAAAATACATACCAGTCATGGAACTTTCTGATGTAGACAGCTGCTCTCTCAGTTTCTCCACATCATCTGGATGAACCTGATCATACAAGGTACTTCCAAACCATTCAGATTGTGGATGATTTAAAACAGGCGTAACAGAGTCTGAAACATAGATGATTCTTCCAGTCTCAGCTGCAGCTACAAAAAGGAATCCATCTGCTGCCTCCAAAATCAAATGCTTCAACTCCTGGAAAGAGAAGGGAAAATATGCAAGTTAAAATTCAGAATCACATTTCACTGTACTATGCTGGTTGTTTAGTTCAGACATTTCTATGAAGATCCACCATAAAAAATTAATAACTTATTCTCCCTCATTTGTAGACTAAGAGAAACACTAAATTGAATCCTGGGATGAAAAGGTTGTCCTATGAGGAAAGATTGAGTGGAATGAGCAAATATGCTCTGTGGTTTAGAGGACTGAGAAGTGACCTCATTGAAATGTATAAAATTTTTCAGAAATTTGCCGAGGTGGCTGTTTCCACTGACTAGGGAGTCCAGAGATGAGGATCATAGTCCCAGAACAAGTGGTAAATCAGTTATGATTGAGATAGGGAAATGTCTTCACCCTAAAATTTGCAAAACTTAAGACAGATCTGCTCCAACGGGTTGTAGATGCTTATTGAGTATTTTCAAGCCTCTGGTTGATAGGCACTAAGGAGATAAAGGGACAGGGTAGAAACATGGAAAAATCAGCCATGATCTAAATGAATGGCAGAGCAGGCTCCAGGGGCTGTATGACGTACTCCAGCTCTCACTTTTCATGCTCAAGTCACAGTTCAATATATTTTCTATGTCCTTATATGAAATCTGCAATTCAAATTCTCCAATCCACATTATACCTGTTGCCAGTTGTGTGGCACTCTTTACTCAAGAATAATGCTCTTTCCACATGCTTCTATTCAACAGCTATTTGACAGGTCACTTTATTAACCATTACTTTGAAATAAATCTGCAATGTAGAAGCAACACCTGTGGTGTTCAATTTGTAGGGGTAATGAGGGACAGCAAGTATGCAATCAAATAATTTACATTTGAAACACTTGGAAACCATCTTCTATGATCCATCTCATTCTTCTACAGGGGTCGCAGCAACAAAGATGCCAATCTTCAGCCAATTCAATGCACTTCATGTTATATCAAGAAATAGCTTAAGAAACTAAATATTGCAAAGGCGACTTGCAGTTTCTATTTGAAACTGTTCATCATCTCCACTTCCATCACACTGTAAACAGCGGGTTCCAGGTCATTACTACTCACTGCTTAAAAAGCTCTTCCTCCACCCTACCTATAATCTTTCGCCTAAGACCTTAAATCTATGTCACCTAGTCCTGTATCATCAGCTAATAGGAACAGCTTTTGTTTGTCCACCTTCTCTGAGCCTGTTATCATTCATACACCTCTACCATAGTACCTTTCATTTTTTTTTGTTCTCAGGAAAATAGCCCCAGCTTTTCCAACCCAACTTTGTAGCTAAAATCCTTTACCCATAGAACCTTTCTGCTAATTATTTCCTGTACCCTTTCAAGAATTCTGACATCCTTCCTAGTGTGGTCCAGAACTGGACACAACATTCTAGGTATGACCTAACCAAAGCTTTACACTGATTCAGCATAACTTCCCTGCTTCTGTACTCAATTTGACAACCTCAAGATCCCATATGCTTTCATAACTCTCAATTATTACAAATAACATTATTACCCAAGCAAAAGTGCTGCCATTGAACCATGGTAAAATGTGCTCCTAACTACACTAGCAGCAATGATTATCTTCCTAAAATCAGACTTGAAGTTATGTACGTCAAGCACTTTACCTACATAACCAAAATTTTGTATTTGGGCTGTGTGTCAGAGCCAAAGTGATGCTAATAGTTAACCATGCCAAATAAATCATAGCAAGACTGTATTATACCAATAAATGAAGGGTAACATAAATACTATTTATTCAAAGTTATCACAGGTTAAATACGACACAAACATTTTCATTGACAATATATTAAAAATCTCTAACACAATTGACACCAACACAAATTCAGGCAATGAAATTAATATTTAACATCAATCAATGGAATCTAAATCATAAGTCAAAGACTAATTGAAGTGCATCTCAACATCTCAGCTTTAAGTAAACTTTTGTTTATGAAGTGCAAGATTACAGTATGACTAAACAGAATTAATTGTATTCAGCAGATCTAACATTTGGCCAGCATTAAGGTTGACCCCAATTTTCTAGAATATTTAGGTCAAGTATTTAATTACAGCTCTTTTTCGGTGTTCAAGACTTCAGAGATCATTGCAGCTCCCTTTAAACTTTACTCTATCTTTTCCCAAACCCCATATAAACATCTGGCAACTACAGACTTTATATACATTAGCTTCCACAAGGAAAATTCTGCTATAGGACACAACCAATAAAAATTAGCTGCTCAGATCATTTGGACCTATTCATGAGATGCATTCAACAAGGCAGCCACACATTAGAAATGATTATTGCTTGATTTCTATTAGTTAAAAAAGAGACCATGAATTTCCTTGTTGTTTGGTTGAGTACAGTAATAATGACTAAAGATATACCTTTCCCAATGTTAGAGTTCCTTCCCTTGAGGACTGTTAAGCCATCTACCTAAGCACATTACACAACAGCACATCAATCAATGTTTTGGTGGACTTCTTTGTCAGACTCTGATCAAGGATCAGAGCAGAGTTTAATTGGAAATGCATTAGCATGTTTTTCTGCAGTCATGATTTCTCAATGTGTAAGGATTTTCCTTTTCAGTATCCTTCAGAAAGTTGAACAGAAGTTTTCATTTTTGCACCTCAAGTTCAGAATAATGACAAAAGAATACCAAACAAACAAGTAACTGAAATGAAAATAGATGATTAAGACAAAATATACATCAGTATCTATGGAGAAAATGGACAAGCAACAGCAGTGCAGAGCCTTGGTATTTCCATACTGTAAACCTCTATGACTCTATCTGATACTCTAATCTGAACACGAACCTTTTCTGTTAGGAATGAAGGCTTATAGGCACCATCAGTGGAAGTATTTCCTGTTCCCCTTAAAGACTTCATATGTGACACAGCCATCCGTAAAATAGTCAGTTTATCAGGTTTACGTGCTAAAGCACTGCATGTTGGCACCATGTCTGACAATTCTGTGATGTAGGCTGTCATCTTGTTTCGACGTCGTCTCTCAATTTCACTGTGGTTCTCTCTGCAGATTATAACAAAATATTAATTATAATAATGTTAAACTGGAGAAAAATTATAAATATGAAACATTCCAGTTAGCGGTCAATAAATTATTTCCAATGACATTGCCATATTTCAGGATTTCTGAATATTCTGATATGAAAAAGGAGCCATAATCATTTTGTTACACAGTACTCAAAGTGGAATAACTGTTCATAACGCGACAATTAAAGTAATCTCACAAAAGCTAAGGAAGAGAGCAAGGTGAAAGGGGGTGGAGACAGCAGTTTCATAAAGAGTCGGAGACAGCCAGGACAGGAGCTTTTCAACATTCAAGACAGAATAGGACAGCAGCTTCTGAAACAGTGCGAGAGACAGCAGGGTCAGCAGCGTCATAAAAAAGCAGGAGACAGTAGGAATAGCAACTTCTGAAACAGTGCAGGAGAGAAAATGGGAACTGAAGGTCTCACTAAGACTCAGCGAACAGAGTGCAGGTCACCAACTCCTGAAACAGAGCATGGAAGCAGAAACCTCAGAATAGGACAGCATGGACACAGCAGTTTCATATAAAGCTGTATAGGGCAAGGGCCCGAGCTTCTCATACATCATGAGGCAACATGGGGACAGCAGCATCATAAAGAGAAGAGTCCATTTGCAATGAGAAGGACAGTGGCGGTGGTAGATAAAAACCAACAGAGTGTGTCTACAACCTGCATGTCAGAGCTGAAAATTGGTCAGTGATTGATGGGTATTTCCTCCATATTACTTTTGATTGGTCAACCAATATAAATCAAGAGATATTACAATGGAAGAGTAAAATTAAGATATTCGCTTAAAATAATTAACATCCAAATTAATTAATTAAATAAAGATGGCTAGGCAGGCAATGTGTTACAGTTGTAGTATACAGTATCTGGTAAACACAAGTGCATGCACGGTGTTCACACCTGCACAAGCGTTGGCTTCTCCAGGAACTTCAGCTCAGATTCAATGTGCTGGAGTCTGAGCATCAGGGAGAGAGTGAGGTACCTGAACACTGTGTTTCAGGAGACAGTCACACCCATTAGATTAATTACATTAAATCTGGGGGTGGGGGGGAGGGGGGTAGGGGGTGGTGGTACTGGTGGTGGTCGTCTGTGGTCAGTGACAGGAGGCTGTGACTGTGATTGAGAGAGATATGGGGATACAGAATAGTGTGGTCAAAAGCACAGGTGGACCATGGATAAGAATACTGGCCACAACATCAGGATACAAAGCACCATGCAATTTGGGTGGAGGAGTTTGAGAACAGAAATGTACTTCTAACAGGGGATAGCATAGGTAGGTAAATACACAACTATTCTGTGCAGCAAAGACAGATAACCCCGAAGGGTGTCCTGTCTACTTGGTGCCAAGGATCAGGACTACTCTTTTGGGCTTGAGAAAAACTTGGAGTGATACCAATAACAATAGCTCAAGGCTAAATTAAAGAGCCGGACCACAAATATAATAAACTCCAGGTGACTACCTGAGCCACGTGCAAATTGGCGTAGTGTAAACAGGAAGAGGAGTAGGCCATTCAGCTCCTCGAACATATTCCACCATTTAATGTCTGATCTGTGGCTAACTCCATATACCTGTCTTTGGTCCGTTTCCCTTAATATCTTTGCTTAATAAAAAAACTACCTGTCTCAGATTTAAAACTGTCATTCGTGGAAGAGAATTCCAAACCTCTGCCACTCTTTCTGTGCTTCCTAACATCTCTCCTGAATAGTCTAGCCCCAATTCTTGGACTAAGCTCCCTAGTTCTGGAATCTCCAACCAATGAAACTAGTTTATTTTTATCTACTCTGTCTTTTCCTGATAGAGAATAACATAATAACATTAGAGAGAAAAACACGTGGTTCAAAGATTGGTGGGGGTGAAGGCACTGGCAGTAGTACTGGGAAGAGAAAGCTGCTCCATTGGGATGGGCTTCATTGGAACAAAGCTGGAGCTGGTGTCCTGGCAAATTATATAACAAGGGCTGTATATTGGGATTTAAATGAATTCATGGAGAAGGATGATTCAATTGAAGAGAAGCTTTTAAAAAATCCTAATGAAACAAAACAGCAGAGATGCAGGGTAGTGAAAAGAAAAACAATAATGCAGTGTAGAAAATATGCACAGAGTGCAGCAGAAATTAGTGGTAGATTAAGTAAGAATGGTGAAAAGTTAAAGTTTGAATGCGTGCAGCATTTCTAAAAAGATTGAGTTAGTGGCACAAATAGAAATGAATGAATATGACTTGATAGCTAACATGGAGACACGACTGCAGGATGACCAAAATCAGAAACTTGGAAATAATGAATAGCCAGGGAATGAAGTCAGGATGAGAGTCATCTATAAGCCGTCAAAGAGCTGCCTCACTGTAGGATAAAGTATAAATTAGGAAATAATATTGGTGCATAGGAAGGCATGGCATCTATCTTGGCTGATTTAATCTGCAAATTGACTAGACAAAGCAGACGGGCAAGGCTAACAAGGAAAATGAATTTGTAGAGTGGATCAGGAATTGTTTCTTAGAGCAGTATATCGCAGGACTTGCTTGGGAACAGGCTATTTTGATCAAATAATGTGTGATGAAGTAGGTTAATAAGAGATCTCGTACTTAAGAACCCCTCGGGGGTAGTAATCACAATGTGGTACAATTTGAAATTCAGTTTGGGGGACAGCAATTCAAATCTCAAATCAGTGTCCTCAAATTATATAAAGGAAATTACAGAAAAAGAGTTGTCCGAAGCAGGCACAGAAAATAGACTAAGGGCAAAATCAGTGGAGTTCAGTGGCAAAGTTTTAAGAAGATATTTCATAACAGTCAGCAAAAATCTATTCCAGTCAAAAAGGAGGAATCAATGAGAAGGATAGTGGACACACAGGTGAGGGCTTATAGATGATTCTCACCCTGACTTCATTCCTTGCCTATTCCTTATTTCTGAGTTTCTGATTTTGGTCATCCTGCAGTCATGTCTCCGTGTTAGCTATCAAGCCAAAAACAGAGGAATACAGAACAACAAAACGTAGTGGTAGGCCAGATGGCTGGGCATTTTTTGTAACCATCAATGGATGACTAAAAAACTAATGAAGGAGTAAATTGATTATGAGAACATATTGATAAGAAATATAAAATCAAACAGCAAGAGCTTCAATGGATATATGAAAAGGGTATGGGACCCTTGAAGGATACAACTGGGTAATTAATAATGGGGAAGAAGGAAATGGCAGATAATTTAAACCAATATTTTGCATTGGTCTTCATGGAAGAGACTATAAATATCTCAGAAATAACAGGTAAGTAAGGTGCTAATAGGAGGAAAAATCTCATAACAGTCCCTATAACGAGGGATAAGTATTTGACAAACTAATGGGACTAAAAGCAATCAAATCACCAGGGCCTGATGGCATGCATCCAAGAGTTTTAAAATACATTACTTTAGGGATCATGGATGTATTGGTCAATTCAGAGAGGGTTCCAACAGATTGGAAAACTGCTAATGTAATGTCCTTACTCAAGATGGGAGGGGGACAGAAAGCAGAAAACAATAGGCTAGTTAGCTTAACATCTGTTGATGGGGAAATGGTAGACTCCATTACCAAGGGAGAAATAGGATATTTAGGAAAGCTTAATATAATCAAATTGAGTCAACGTAGTTTTGTGAAAGGGAATTGTTCTTTTAATGTGAATGTTCTTTGAGGATAGTAACAAGCACAGTTGGTATAGAGGAGCCAGTAGATATAAAAACAGAAGATGCTGGAAAAGCTCAGCAGGTCTGGCAGCATCTGTGAACAAAAATATCAGAGGTAACGTTGCAGGTCCAGTGACCCGGAGGAAGGGTCACTGAATCTGAAACATTAACTCTGATTTTTTCTTCACAGACACTGCCAGATCTGCTGAGCTTTTCCAGCAACTTCTGCTTTTGTTCCTGATTTACAGCATCCACAGTTCTTTTGGTTTTTATTGAGCCAGTAGATATAATGTCTTTGAATTTCCAGAGGCATTCAATAAGGTGCCACATAAAAGATTACTTCATAAAACAGAAGCTCATACTATTGGGGGTGACATTTTAGAACATGGATTGAGGATAGGGTGACCACACCAGACTGAATCAGGATTGAGTGGTCTCTTTCAAGTTGGAAAGACGCAACTCGTAGAGCACAACAAAGATCAATCCAAGGGCCTCAATTATTAACTACCTATATTAATGACTTCAAAGAGGGGATAGAGTGTAATGTATCCAAATTTTCCGATACGAAAATAGATGGAAGGGCATGTTGTAACAAGGACATAAGGAATCTGCAAGGAGATAAAGACAGGTTGAGTGAGTGGGATGAAATTTAATGTAGGGAAATGTGATTTTTGTTTACTTTGGTAGGAAGAATCAAACGGCAGACTATTATTTAAATGGATAAATATTCAAAAAGATGTAATGCCAGTGATCTGGGTATCCTTTTGCATGTAAAGCAACATTAGGATGGAGGCACAGCAAGTAATTAAGAAGTTAAATTGGCTTTGGTCTTTATTGCTAGGGGGTTGGAGTTTAAAAATAGGCAAATCTTGTAACAACTGCACAGGATATTTGTGAGACCTCACCTGGAGTACTGTGTACAGTTTTGATCCACAAATCCTTTTTTTCTATTCAATCACCGGACATGGACATCACTGGCTAGCCAGCATTTATTGCCCATTCTTAATTGTCCAGTTAAGAGTCAACCACATTTCTGTGGGTTTGCAGTCACATGTAGGCCAGACCAGGTAAGGATGGCAGTTTCCATCCCTAAAGGACATTAATGAATCAGATGGATTTTTCTAACTGGCAATGATTTCATGGTCATCGTTAGACTCTTTCTTCCAGATTTTTATTAAATTCAAATTACTATCTCCCATGGTGGGATCTGAATCCTGGTGCCCATAACATTACTTGTGTCTGGTGGATTAAAGGTCTGGTGATAATACCACAAGGCCATTGCCTCCCCCTGAAAAATGATGCACTGGCACTGAATGCA